ACCTCAGGGGAATCACTTCATTTCTGTGGACCTTACTTTCTGTATCAGCAAAATGTTCATATGTTCCCTCCAGGTCAAGTTCTATGATTTTCTGAATCAAGTTACATCCTATATACATCCAATAAACATCCTATGTTTAGGATGTCGATCATTCCAGTTTGTGGAGACTAAACACACTCAGAAGCAAGATGGAGGAGGTGGTAGGGAAAATTTTGAAAAGTGTTATGTTTGGAAAATATAATAAAGCAAATATTGCCCGTGTTTATGTCTGGTTTCCTCAGCAAAGGAAAAGACACATTCCAACTTAATTCTAAAGTAATCATTTTTCCCCAATGAAGGCCATGTGGACAGGTGTATCTGTTGAGAAGGAAAGACAAATAGTGGGTTTTTTTCTGTTTGGTTTTTTGGGGGGTTTTGTTTGTTTTGACATCAGTTTCAAGTAATGTCACTGGTCTTCCTTCTAGACTAAATTTACTGGTTAAGTTGAAATAAGTTACAAGGCCATAAAATTTCTGAAGAAAGTGTGTCAAAAAGTGGAACTTTGATATGAAAATGAATTTCTTTAAGGAACAAACATCACTAGTTTGAAGAGCAGAGAATTCTGACCCTTTGGGAGATTTTTTTTTTCCAAGTCAAATAACATACCATAAACAGCTTTCATCTCAAAGCCTCGTGGGGTTGCATTACCATATCATGCTAAGTGTGCAAATTTTTAAAAAAAATATTCCATGCAATGCCATACCTCAGGGGAGACTTCTGTGATTCCAAATTGGGATAAGCTTTGATGTAAAACATTGATGTTAAGTGAATGCAACACTTCCTCGGATGGCAGAGCGTCAGAAATTCCTGCTTTTCGGTTTATGGGAGACACAAATAGTTCAACACTGTTCTTCTTTTCCTAGTAAAAGCAGATTATTTGTAGGTGTTATAGACATTTTAAGCAATGTTGTATAATATTTTCCTTTGGAAACATTACAGAAAATCATAACCCTGGAATCCTTAAAGTTTCCTGGAGTTCACATTGGTCTGTTATTCTCTGATGGAGTTAATATTATCAGTCTGACATCTAAATTCTTTAAATGGCCTCCTTCTAGTTAAGTGGCTCTCCAAAATTTGGAATTTTGTATTTCATTAGATATTGGTTTATTTTCCATTTCATATTTTTTAGTTTTGGAATATTTTGTTCAGATGCTCCCTGAGTAGTTATGTTTAAAGAAGTGTTTTAAAATCAAGTGAATTAAATAGAAGCAGATGTAATAGCATTAGTGGACACCACCACTATTCTCTGTGTTTTCCTCGTGACTTTGTGAAGGTAAAGGCTGCGCTAGCCAAGGCTAATATTGCTAAATGAAGTCCCTTCCTTGACTCGGTTCACCTCAGACATGTCACATTTTAAAAATCAACCCTTTGGAAGAAATGCATATATGCATTGGTATGATACTTTTCCTATTAATATTACCTCACTAGCCAAAAACGGAGACAGATTTCTTACCACAAATGAACAATATGCCACATACACAAAAAACAAACACCAGACAAAAAATACCATTGACATGAAAACATTCTCTTTTACAACTTAAACAATACAATTATAAAAGGAAATTATTGTTAGTCTTTTCTTTTTGTCACATAGAGTTCTCTTTTGCTAGAAAATTTTCTTTGCATGCAATTTATCAGAAGTTCACCCATGTATAAAATGAAGAATTGATGTACTACTAGCAATCCAGAAAAAGATTCTGTGTTAGTAGGAACAACAGACAATGACAATCAATATTTACACTGACATGAAATATGCTTATGATAATTTATTAAATAGCTTATAACCTAATAACAA